GTATTGTAAAATAATATAAAAAAAATTTTCATCAATTGTGTAACGATTTTGTGACGTATCAACGGTTCCCCCTGTTACACTATACCCGACCAATTTGTTTTTAGATAAATTGTTACACGGAAGTTTATAAACTCGGTGAACACTGGTGAACCGGTTAAGTAAATGCTTAACTGATTAACTCGATATAATCGGAAATCGGTTAACCCTGCATAATTGGTTGCCAGGCATAATCGGTTAACCCAATATAATCGGTTGACTCGGAATCTATTTTTGTGGCTTGTATTCTTTCCTGCCGCGTTTGTAATATTTAAGAGATATGTATAGATTTTATTTGTTCGATACACAAAAAGGCGCAAATAAAAGAGTGGCCATAAACCTATAATTGAGCCTCAATCTGATTAACTTGATTAGCTTGGTTAACTCGGCTGACCCAGTTAATTCGGTTGGCTCAACTACCCGATTAACTTAATTGACCCGACTAGCTCGGTTGACCCGCTAATTCGGTTGACCCGGCTAATTCGGTTCCCGGACCAACTGGTCTAACCGAAATAATAATACGGTTGAGCCGATTGTATTCGGGTAAGTTAATTCGGTTACAGCTATTATCATTATTTCTGGGACACCTGCTCATTACTCGAAATCTTTTTGGTCATCCGGTAAATACCTAACTCTCCGAAAATCACATCACTGCCTCCGGACTAAAGGTTCGAAGACAGCGATGTAGTTTCCGGAGAGTTAGGTAATTTATTGAACGACCAAAAAGATGAGCAGGTGTCCCAGAAATTATGATAATAGCTGTAACCGATTAGGAATTGGTTCAAATCATTACTATAAACTATACTGAAATTGAATTTGACCAATCATATTTGATAAAAACATTTATTAAAAAGAAATTTCGGTACTGTTCGATTCATTTCGGCCAATTAGTCTAAGACAAATCAATAGATCGCGAGTTATTGACATTAATACTTACCTATCGCTATTGTTATAATGAGTACTACAAAGGGAAATAGCCTGATTTTTTAACTATAAAAGTTACGGCTTTTCCTTTGCAGCACTCAAATTATACAATCATACGGCGGAGGATCAATGACCAACATTACACTAATTTTTCCAATTCAAGTAGACATTCAGGTTGACATTTTGACAATCGAAAGTATATAACAATTGCTTAACTTTGTATGGTAATATTCAAATCAAAGTTTATGTGCCCCTTATAGAGTTTTGATCTGTGAGAACATTTATAAAATTTCTAGAATTCTAGAAAACGTAGAAAACGGATTCCTTTTTTAGAAAATTCTTCAGTTATTTTTTTTATGTTAGCTTTATAACATTCTGCACGCAAATTTGATTATCAAGTGTTTAGGACCCAGACCGTAAACTTAAAGAATTACGAATTTAAGACTAATTTGTCTCATAGACAACACTAAAAAACAGAAATGTGAAACCGAAAATCTTTGATTTGAACATTTTACAAGATTAAAAAAGAAACCAACTTTGGTAGGTTGGCAAAAATGCTTTACTAAATTGGCATATCACATGATTAAAAACGGCAATCAGCGAAAAATAGATAATAACACCTTTAATGTATTATGATAAAAATTTGAAACACAATTAATGATAATGATAATAATGATCTTTTCATAAAACTATTTTTTTTTTTTTTTCAACAAAAAAAGATAATTAGTGAGATGAAGAAGGTGGAATGAAGGAAAGCTCAGAAGTATAGTAATGACCATAGACTCCTAATTAAATTAGTTTATGGCAATCATCGTTACTATAAAAGATATGCATACATATTCTGAAACTGGAGTACAAAAATTAAAGTTTAGAATTTATCGGACAATTCAATTAATTGTCTTGTTTGTCTTGAAATTTCCTGTTGGGCAATTTTTTTTTTTTAAAGTACCGGGTCCCATACGTAAAATATCGGACCGGGCCAATATTTTACTATGGTAGTTTATGCCCGGCTTAAACTATTTTTTTGTCTTTTTTTTTTTTCTTTTTTTGTTTTTTTTTTTTTAGTTTAATCGCAAATATATATTGAATAAATTCGTGGTAAATCAATGGGATAATATTAAGCTTATTTGGTTAAGGTTCTGAATAAAGAAATCGGTGCTTGAAGACTTCTCCTGGCAGTTGACGAGAAACTGGTGGTTGATGGAGACTCTGGACGACTTTTAGGTTTCTCTGGTTTTTGTTTAACTACAAGAACAGAACACTCTGCATGGCGTACGACATATTCAGAGACACTTCCAAGAAGATTGCTGTCATTGTATATTATTATTATTGAAATTGATTAGATAATGGCATAAAATTAGATAAATCATTGTTTATTTGAAATAAATATTTACCGTTTAATTAAGCCAAGACCTCGTGTACCAACAATAACCAAGTCTACGTGTGCATGTTCAGAAAGTTTGACCAATTGAATTTTAGGATCACCTTTCAAAATGTAAAAATTCGAAGTGATCTAAAAAGAATTATAACAAAGTTAGTGAAAAATTAACGATTATAAATGAGAGATAAAATGAGAAATGATTTCTTACTCCTTTACTCGCTAAGTCTTCTGATAATGGTTTTAAGATATCAGAAGCTTCTGAATGTTCTGTTAACGATAAACGTCTATTCCTTTTCATATTCTCTATAGGCGAAGAAAGCAAAGATCATAAATTTAACATTTAAGCAAATTGAAGAACATTTAACTAGATGAACAATAAATACCAGCATTTTGTGCTCTGGAGTTATGAGCCAATAACCACATAGATTGTTCTTCATCGAGAACAGTAGCAAGCGCAACATGGTCCTTGTTAGGAATAAATATATTATCTAAAGCATATTGGAAGACGGCCTAAATTAAATAAAAGTATTAAAAAATAATAATAATAATAAATGAGTAAATAAATAAATAAATAGGCGAAACGAAAAAAAAAAATCAAATAACGGTTGAGTAAAAACATCAAATTTAAAGAGACTAACTAACCTTGCTATATTCAGAATTATCGTAAGCCAGGAGAATTTTACGTCTCAAATGAAGTTCGAGAGGCTCTTCTGGAACAGTGATCACCATTTTGAAAATTTGAGTTATTATTGCTTATGTATTGAAATATTTTATTGAAAAAAATAATGGAAAAGAAAAATTTATTTTCTTAAAGTGGGAAATGGGGATATTTATACTTTAAAAATAGTACAAATGGATGACAATTCCGAGCTTGGTGTACGGGAATACGCCACAAAAGTATTTTTGGTGTGACGATTTAAATTATGGTCTCACTTCCCAGTGTTATTTTATGATTCTCTGTCGAAGCATTAATCTGACCTCATTTGGATTAAGAAATGACGTAATAACAATAAAATTGATTGTAACCATGCATAAATATCTAATAACGTTAATAATCATGAATCAATTTTTCGTATATTTTCTTGTACGTAAATAAAAATAAATCACATCCATTATTGCACAAATTTCTTAAATGATGATAAATCAAGATAAGATCATATGTTACATTTAGGTACATTTAGGTTGCATGATCTAAATATCGGGAATATGTTCTGTGTATGATACCAATGTATTGGAAAATTTTCATACTCTACTAAAGATAGCACATATTAAGCTGTGAGACTTTATGGATAGGATGAATATTAAAATTATGTGTGCCTAAACCAAACCAATTTTATTACCTTCTATATTATATAATTTACATGGATTAATACGCATCAAATTAATCATAATGGATATCTTTGATGCTTTATGGTTCACCTGACCCAATAAATTTGTCATACATATCATGTGAAGCCATATTTAAATTCAAATTAGTATACATGCGGCATATGCATATGTACTCTCGTATATTCGATATATATATTGTATATACCGTATATATGCTGTATCATATTATATACCGTAAATGGCTGTACACAAGATTTTGAGTCAGTTACATTCCGTAAATTTTTTAGAACCTTGTGGTCTGTTTAAATTTTCTTGGTAATCTAATATTTCTAATATTAGAAATATTAGACCAATCCCTATTAGTTGGCATCATCTCTCGATATATATCTTTTTTATTTGATAGATTTCGGCTGTTCTATTAAGATTGTTAAAAAAAACAATGTGACAATTAGTGTCACATAAGGTTGTCAATTATCTAAATAACGTATGATCAGATATTTGATATCTGTCTACTGTTATCCGGATCAGCGGTGAGATCCATTCAATCACCTGATTTTTTTAGGAAAACCGTGTGCTCTTCTGCTCTTATAATAATAATTTAAATTTTTTTTAAATTAAATTAGGGTTGGCTAGTTTTGGTTAAGGTCACTATTATATGTGCCTTCTTGGAATTTTTAATTAAATGTGCCTTCTTAGAATTTTTAATTATAAGGTTCGCAATTTTTTCTGTGGTTTTGCTTTGTCGGGCTAATCCGAGTTGATCAAATCTTACGATTTGATTTGTTTTATCGTTACGTATACGTTTTACAACACTTTTTTAGGGAGCTCAGGTAATTACGAAATGTGAGTAATGTTGCTTGAATCCCACCAACGATCGATAGGACATTATTGGCTAAGGTCCATAATTGGCTAAGGTCTAGAATAATCTATAAAAAACTTTAATCAAGAGTGACTACTAACAAATACTGAAAATGAAAAAAATATGTCCTCTCAATTTGATATAGGAAGTCAGAGTAGTTCAAGTCAACAAATTAGCTTAAATTCTTCTACTCCCTCGTTTAGCGAATTTTGTCGCTTTTTAGAAGTTGCTTCAAGAGAAAAAGGCGATGCAAAAAAGAAAAAGCTACACAAATATTTCGTGGTAAGAAATATTTCTCTGTTTATTAAAATTCTACTATCAGTTTAACTTTTAACCTTTTTACGTGTTTTTATAGAACTGGAGGACTAAATACGGAAATGACTTTTACCCCGTTATGCGTTTACTTATTCCACACGTAAAATTTGCAACTATTTTAGATTTTGTTCGTTATTCTTGCTGGAATGTGCTTGCGAGAATTAGTAATATTTTATTTAGCTGGACAATGAAAGAACCTCATATGGGATGAAAGAAAATGTTCTTGCTAAAACCTATATAAACGTCTTGGGTTTATCAAAAGATTCCCCTCATGCTGAACGGTTATTGCATTGGAAAATGCCTGGAAGTAACAAAAGTGTATGTTTCTTTCTTACAAATTATATTTGTATTCAATTATATACGTGTTACTGTAATTGATAAATTTTGTCTCCTTACGCAGAAAACTGCTGGTGACTTTGCTTCGGTTGCTTTTGAAGTGATTGCTCCTCGATCTACTGTTGTTGGTCAAGGATCGATGTCAATTGATGATGTGAATCAGCAGCTTGATACTTTGAACGCCTCTAGTGGCCAGTGAGTTCAACTTAACTATTTAATGTATGGTGAATGTGATCACTGATTATATTTTTTAATTTAGAAGCGAATCACGTATCATAATTCGTAATTTCTTTACTAAGTGCACTGCCATAGAACAAAAATGGATTATTCGTATCATTTTGAAAGGTCTTTGCAATTATATATATACTCTTTTTTTTCAATTAATTTTTGTTCATTCTAATTTACATATAAATTATTTATTTTTTAGAACTTAAAATTGGCATGAGTGAAAAGACTATATTTTCTGCCTTTCACCCCGATGCTTCGTCTCTTTTTAATGTATGCAGCGATCTGAGAAAAGTTTGTTCCGAATTACAAGATCCTTATAAGAGGTTTACTAGTTCGGTATGTGATTTTATATTTCTCCGCTTATTATTGTTTTTTTTCTCATTCACTTAATATATCTTACGACATTTTTATTATTACATGTTGAATTAGGAAATCTCCATCTTCCGTCCATTCAAACCAATGCTTTCTAAATCAGTTGCTGTTCAAAATATTATCAAAACAATGGGTGGTAGTTTTTGGATTGAAGAAAAAATAGATGGCGAAAGAATTCAATTACACATGAAAAATGGAAGATATGAATATTTTTCAAGGCAAGGGTTTAAATTTTCTCTTTAATTTATTAACTCAGGTAACTCAAGTAACTCATTTATATTTTACAATTCCAGAAAAGCTACTCAATATACATATATGTATGGCTCTAATAAATATGAGGGTGCCTTAACAAAATATATACATTCCTGTATTCATGAAGGTGTTCAAGAGTAATTATTTATTTTTTAGTCACGATAACAATTAAAATTTTGATTGATATATATGAGTATGGTTTTTCATAATTTATTAGAATTGTTCTTGATGGTGAGATGGTTCCGTATGACCCTACTTTAGATGTCTATCAACCTTTCGGGTCCCTGAAATCCGTCTGCAATGGTTTGTGAAAATAATATTGAATGAACACTAACATTCAATAATCATTTATTAATATTTTTATCTTCTTTAAGATAAGTCCGATGATGAAAATAAATGTCACCCATGCTGTATCCTTGATAACTTGATAATACTATTATTTTTTTTTTACATTGTTCATTAATTAATATTCCTTAACATCATTTTTTTGTTTAATAGTTTTGGTTTTTGATATTGTGCTACTTAATGGAAAGTCACTTGCTAATTATACTTTGGAAAAGCGGCGCGGATTTCTAAAATCTCTTATTACAGATAAGCCAGGATATATCCAAGTACTTCCTCACAAGGTAGGAAATTCTATGAAAGATTTGACTGAAGCTATGGATGATGCTGTTATGAAAAGGCATGTATAAATACATAGATATATAGATTATTTTTTAATAAATATTTCAAATTATAATTATTAATATTTTTGAATATATAGAAAAGAAGGGATTATAATTAAAAAGCCCTCTAGTACTTATGTTCTCAATGAACGTGTTGATGATTGGATTAAAATCAAACCTGAGTATTTGGATACACTTGGTGATGACTTGGATTTGATTGTTTTTGGTAAGTTCGTTATTAAAAAATTCCTTATATCAAAAGTAATTCATATTAAGTTGTTTTTTTTTTTAAGGTGCCGATTATGGTCAAGGGAATAGAGGCAATAAATTTGGAAGTTTTATGTGTGGGTTAAGGGATTCTAAGTCGCTTGATAATGAAATTAGGTTTGTGTTACTAAAGTTATAACAAGAAAAACAACTGTAAATTAAATGCTGACGAAACAAACAATCGTTTATAAATCAAAGAATCTTATCATTCTGTCGCTTTGGTACTGGGTTCACAATGAAAGAGAGTGAAGAATTAAAGTAACTAAATTTAATCACTTTTTATATTTTCAGTTTTTTCTATCCTTTTTATCTTTCTATCATTGTTCATGATATATTTATTAACTACATGTAGATCATTAGAAGGTTGGGAGCCTTTCGATCCTAACCGAATACCGGATTGGCTTGTAATCGGTCGTGATAGACCCCATATGCTAATCCCACCAGAAAAGTATGATTTAATATTCATGAATTGTACCTTAAAACTTATATTATGTACTTAATTGCTTATTTAAATTTTATTATCATGGTTTAAGGTCAGTTGTAGCTCAAGTGAGAGCATCAGAAATAGTGCCTGCAAGTAATTATGAAGCATTAGTTATTATTGTTCTGATATTTCATAATTGCAAGATATTCACACCTAATTTAATTCTAAATTTCTCATTATCAAAGTTGATTATGCGACAAATTTCACCCTTCGGTTTCCTCGATTCGAAAAACTTCGTCCTGATAAAGATTGGAGTTCTGCCACTAGTCTTGAAGGTTTTATGACTTTTCGAATTCTCAAGCTAATATCAAATATAATACTCAATACTCTTATTGTCTTCTAAAGAAATGATGCATCTTAGAAAGGAATCCTCAGGACGTCTACAATCTAAAAAAGTGACAGAAGACGATTTGGTGTAAGCTTCTTTCGTTTTTGTCTCATTTTAATATTCATTTATTTTGTGCGAATGATAGTTAATTTATATTTTTCATCATATAAAAGAACAACTTCAAGATCAACAAAGAGGAAAATCAGGGCACCACAAAGGGTACTATATCAAATTTGACCGTATCCTTCTAAATGAATTTTACAATGCCGATAAGATTATTTTTTATTTTTATTTTTTTTATAATAGGTTAGACGATCCACTCTACTTGAAACGTACACTTCTCAGAGTGGCCCAGTCGAAAAAAAATCCAGAATATTTACTCATAAAAAATTCTGTAATAATCATATTCGTTTATATTTAGTTTACTTAAATCTAAAAATAGCTAATAATGTCTTTTTATATGATAAGATGTCATGGTGGCTAAATATAAAACCTTCACGAAAGCAGATCTGGAGCGTATGATTAAAGAACATGGTGGTGAATTCTTCCAGCATCCTGATGCCTCTCCAAATTTATATATAATTGCCGAATCGCTATCAAGTAATTATTTATATCATTTTTCTCACATATCTCGTTAATTCAACGTACTAAATTCGTATAATATAAATTTAAGATTTTCGAATCCGCAAGCTTGTGGAAACTGGAAAACATGATATTATACACCCAAGATGGATCGAAGACTCTATTAGTACACATCGTGCCATACCATTAAGTCCAAGGTAGTAGTAATTTATATATTCTTATATGTAAGTTTACATGTATTTAGCAGCGATATCCCTTAATGCTACAAATAATTTTTATCGAATTGTTTAGATACATGTTGTTTATTACCGACGCCACATCACATGAATTCAGCAAAAGAATGGATCAGTTTGGTGATAGCTATACGGAAAAAGTCGATGTAGCTACCCTAAAAGAGGTTGGTCTGACATTTTTGTATCAAACGTTATTATTTTTGGCATAACAATTCATCCTACTCTATTTAGATCTTTGACCTTAATCCTATTGAAGAAATATTCGATGACAGCAAACGTCGTCGATTAAATGACGAAATAGAGGGTCGTTATTTTGATGATACGGGTTTACCAAATGCTATCTTCAGGCGTTGCGTAATTTACATTGATTATCCGCCTCTTAGAGATAATTCGGTCATAGACGACTTATGGGCACTACAAGAAGGCTGTCGTGATAGGTGAATATTTTACACCTCTTTATTTATTATGATTATTGTATTTTAATTTTGCTGACTTTATTATTTACAGATTGAAACTTATTGAATTGACTCTTCGTTATCACGACGCTCAAGTAACCAATGACTTATGCTCGCCTAACATAACGCATGTAATATTTGATGAACGGGATTTAAGTCGTGTCGATGCTATCAAAAAACGGCATAAAGGGTAACTATGAAGTTGTCCGCTATTCTTAAGCGAAATCATTGTCTTTAAACTTTATTACTATAATAGGCGTCAGAATGAATTAATTCCTCGATTTGTACGTTCATCTTGGGTTACTGACAGCGAAAATTTAGGCGCGTTAATAGATGAAAAAGGCAAGTATAACACTTTTAATGAAAGTTGGTTTTAAAATCCATCACATATAACTAATTGTGAAAGGTCTTTATATATGACTTAAATAGCATATGATCCTAAATCTTTTAAATAATCATTCATATATTCACTTATTGGCATTAAAATTTGCATACATACTTTTCATTTTAATCAAAGATGCATGTAATATGTTCAACTTTTATTACATTATGTAAATAAAAGGTTTCATCAACTTAGCTAGCATTTTACCAAATTTTGGCCAGCATTATGAAATTTAATTTATATCCGGCCAGTTACAATGATTGTAGTTTACGGATCCAGTGTTAGCATATGACCTGTTATGACCTCTATGACCTTTATGACCAGTCATAGTCATAAAAATGATGATATGACTTATGACCTTGATCATAATCCTACCCAATAGAAATTACTTTTAGCAATCTATAAAAATTGCGTATACATATAAACACAAAGAACTTTAAAATTTATTTTAATTTATAGTTAAACCATTTATTGTATTAATTGTAAAGCAGATTATACATAATTCGCTATTTATATTCCAAATTTAAATTTTAGAATTTAAAATAACAAAATAATATATATTGTATAATATTCGTCACGATACTAAATTTAATACTGTAAATATTTTATTCCCATCTTTCAAGACCAATTCTGCAGCGTTTTCTATTCTAGCAACCAATACCACTAGCATTCTCTACTTCAACGATTAATAAATACCTGCCACTCTAACTATACTAACAATTTCCTATTCCTAATAAATTTATTTATTTATTTATTCGTCCTTTCGATCCAATTTCATTCATCTTTTTGATCAAATTTTATTCGTTCTTTTGATCCACATTCGTCTTTTTGGTCTAATTCCACAAATATTTCTTGTTTCAACAGAATTTGATAATAATATATATGTTTTTTTTTGTTTTTTTTTTATTTTTTTTTTATTTTTCTTATTTCAGTCTTAAGTTATACTTTCTTCGTCTCTCCAAACTGTCGATGTTTATAGTTGTCTTTTTGGCTCAGATTTCAGTGTTCTATTTAGCTAATTACTGAATTCATGTTCATATATTTTGCATCAATTCCGCAAGTATATTTATTTTAATAATTAAGTAAGTTCCGATTTAAAAAATGATGGTGCTTCTAATAAGAAAATAAAAAGTAGGTCTAAAGCCATTTTGCCGTCTCATCATTGGCAAGATGTTTTTTTCGCCCTTCAAAAAACAGGGGGAAACGTCGAACGTCATAAAATTGTTACACAATTGATAAAAATTTTTTTTATATTATTTTACAATACTTTTTTGGAAGGCTCGCT